CCAAATTGACCCAAATTGTATAACCTGTGAACTACTGTGCACACTTGTATTTTTAATTCTTAATTTAAAAAAATCTTCTGTATATTTAAATAGTGAAAACTATTTGCAATTAAATTATTTGTGTATGTATTCATTTCATATGTCCAATTGAAATTATAGACATAAACTGTTAATCCAATGTCTAGAATATATATATTTATTTATTTAATTTTTTGAAACACTTAAGATACTTTAGGCTAAGGAAAAAAGGGAAAGATATTAAAAAAAATAAGCCATAAGACATTTTAATCTCATCCATGTCTACCACGAATGAATGTATATATGTTCATTTGTTTCATGTTTTTGGAAATGGTACGAGTGTAGCATTTATAAAATGTCGTTATTCCCAATGACTAATATGAGGAGAGAGGATGAAAAATGGCAATTGACCTACGATTCTCCTATCCAAGAAGTTTCCTAGAAAAGAATTTACTGCTACTTCTTAGGCATACTCTGTTAGCACATCTGGTACATGGTATTGGTGAGCCTTATAGTGATCTGATGAATAATTACGGAGTTTGGTTTGGAGAGGAGAAACCAGTAAGACTAAATAATAAAAGGAGAAAAGAAGACAAACCAGGCAAAAATGGTGAGGAGAAAAAAAAAAGGAGATATCCATGTTTATAGAAGAAATTAATCTTGATCTCCACATTCAGATGAAGTAATCATCCACAAGGAAATCAACCTAATTTAATAACTGGTAGATGATGCTTAACACAAACTTCTGGAATGATTTAATATTTGGAGATATGATATAGACATCAGTAGACATAGACATATTACATGTAATGATTAACATAAAACTCACCTTAACACACAACTTCATATTTTATACATTTGAGACACAGGGTTTTATTTAAGAATTTATTGAATGAAAAAAATCACTGGATGATATGAGGGAGAGACTGAAAATAAGTTGAAATTTTATGTTTTGCTTACCAACAATCACATTCGTTTAGACCTATAGGTAGATACTAATTAGACTAAACAGCACTGTCAGATTACAGGGTTGCATATAACAAAACTAAAACTCAGGTAATAAAAAAAAATAATTTAGCAACACTTACATATTACTAAGATTTTTTTTTTAATCTGAGAAGGTAATTTACAATCTCTAAGGCCTCATTTATTGAAATGTTATAGCTGTACTGTTCAGAGTTTTGTGCTTTCCTATTTCTTGTAGAAATAAACCAAAGCACAGAACCTGTATTTTAAGATGTCTGAGGATTTATTTTCAAGAATTTATGCATTTCTCAGAATTGCAAAATAATTGTTCTTCTAAGCATAAACATTTGGTCAAATGATAGATTGCTTTTTAATTTCAGGATTAAAAACTTGATCTGTACTTAGGTGTTTATAAAAACTAAATGAAGAATTTATTAAATGTAAATAATTCTGTGAGACAATAAAATTTTCATTTTAAATTATTTTCTCAACTGTCAAAATATCACTTTAGGTACCATGTAAACCTGAATTTGAGTATTCTTTGCATCACTGTCGGTGACCTTGAGTCATAGAATATTAAATTTTAAAAAATCAACTATGTTATCTTATGAAATACATATTCCATGTTTTTTGCTATCATATACTATGTATTTTGCTATCATATACTATGTCTAAATAATTTCTACATGAGTCTTGTGGAAGCATTTGTCTTATTGGAAAAATCCAGTCAGGTTATAGTCAACAGGGAAAACTGTTCCTGGAAGAGTTATTGGAACTCTTTTCTTTCCCAGGACTTTCTACATATTAGTAACCAACAAGTCTACATACCTTCTCCAAATACAGATATCCTGGAATATAATATGCACTTATAATTAGTTCTTTGATAAAAAAAAAGTTGGTCATGGTGATTTTATTTTATTTCTTTCTTTGTGCGAGAGAACACAAGTGGGGGGTGAGGAGAAGGAGAAGCAGGCTCCCCACTGAGCAAGGTGCCCGATGTGGGGCTCAATCCCAGGACCCCAGGATCGTGACCTGAGCTGGAGGGAGATGCTTAACCGACTGAGCCACCTAGGCGCCCCTGCTATGGTGATTTTAAAAACAGAACACTCGCCATAAGCAGGTTAGATTTCCGTACTGCGTAAGTTTGGAAATCCCTTTGTCTCAGCAGAAGAAAAGGGAAGGAAGTAGAAGTGTGTTTAATCTGTGGATGGGTTACTTCTGCATTCTAAAGATCCGTTGCTAGATCAGAAGAAAGAAGGACAGCAGTGCACAGCAGAGTTTAGAAAAGATTAAAGAAAGACTACTAAAGAGAAGTCTAGCATTAGATCTTATGTAATAGGATCCTGTAGCTATTTAAAAAAGAAAAAAATAGTAAGAGAATACTTTCATGCAGGAAAACAGTTTTTGATGAGTGACTCTCAAAGCCTCGTATCTAGTAATTTGATTTACCATGTAAGAATGGTCACTCTATTGATATATGTAAATCTGACTGCTTTCTAATTGTCCTGAATGAGTATTAAGAATCATTTGCTAGAGTGTGGTTGGGAGTGAAAGGCACAAAACACTTTTCTCATTTTATAATGAATGAAAATGTCAAAACTGAAATCATTACTTATGATACTCCCTCAAATCCAGCTTCCTCTGAAAAATGGAATGTGGTAACACCTCCTTCTCCTCTCAATTTCATCATCTCTCAAGAAGTAGCTAACAATAGCATCAGTCCATATCCAGTGAACAGGATGCAACTTTTTAAACACATTCTAACTTTATTATTTATTTTGGGACAATTGCAGAGAGATATTTCAACTTAATGAAAAATGGATATTTCAATATTGGTGTTCAAATTTAAAAGAAGAAACTTTTCCACTTTTATTCCTTATGACATTTTAGGTCAGTAAATGGAAAATAGGTCGCACAATAAGGATACACATCTAATATAATAAAAGTTATCAGGTTTATGTTTTATATAAATGGTAAGCACTATGAAATTTTATAAATGTCCATAAAGTTAGAAACTTACATTTAAAAGAGTAACAATTAAAACCAATATAAAAGATCCACAATTCTACGTAATAAAATTACTATTTCTACAATGTATGGCCATGGATATTGAATTATATTTGCAAAATAATCAAATGAAAGACTAGATGCAGTAAATGCTTACGCTCCAAGTAAAAGTGACATGATATTTAACAGGTCAACTTCAGAAATTAAAGGAAACTTTAGAATGAAGCAAATTATGCAGTGAACTTATCCTAGAAGAAACAATCCTGATTCACGTTCTTTCAGTGATTTTCTGACAAATTATTTACTTTAAAGGTTGACAATTTGGGGAAGGGAAAATAGGCTAATTGTTCATGGGTGAAGATACATGCATAATTAGTTGGACCATAGAAAATCTTTTATCATAATTTCAGATTAGCCTTGTAAATTTGCAGGGCATAAAAGGAAATATCATAAAACAACAACATTAAAACATCCAAGACAAACTTATGGCTATAATGAAAGAAAACCCAGCAGCATTCAGCTGCCATGACTGGCTTCCATTTTCGCCTTTATTCGCTTCACAGCATTTATCTGCGTGATGGAAATTGTTTTTGAAAATAGAATAAGAATAAAATAATTAAGGAAGAAAAGAGTAGGGTTACAAACATGAAAATAAAGAAAAAGAAAAAAAAGTGACAGGAAAGAAAAAAAAAGAGAAAATAATTAATGCAAGATTTACACAAAGCCATTACAAATTACCTACAAAAAATTACTTTGATACAAGACAAAGAATGGCTAAAATCTGTACAGAACATTATGAAATAGTTGTCACATTAAATCATAACTGAGCCTCAATATTAACACTCAGTATTAATTAATGTTTATTTCACATAAATCAGACAGTAGTTCTGTCATTGATTCTTTAAATGTAAGCATCTTAATTATTCTCGAATGAAGATACATCTTATAAGCGAGAAGGCACCTCCACTTCACTGTGCTACTGTAAATATGAGCTCATCATATTCTGCAATGTTTACTGATAGTACTTTTCGCTGCCATCATATCTTAGAAGAAATATTTGATAAAAGTAGTTATATTTTTAATAGTGAATAAGCTACCAAGAAATATCAGTGAAAATTACCTATTCACACAATGAAAATTTGCCATAAGAATAGAAGAAGCAAGGAGCCCTGACTGACCAAAGACAAACTCTAGACATATGTCATTGTACCTCTTTAAAAATAACTTTGAGAACAAAAGAACATGAAAATATAGGTTTACTTTTTCATTATGTGCTAAATTCAAAGAAATACTGTTTTGGATGTAGTATTAACATTTAGCTTTGACTAAGATTTCCAGATAGTTAAAATGAAGTTCTTTCCAATTAACTGAACTTCAATTTCACTGCTGTTTTAGAATTTCTCTTATTCATATTTTGAACAGATCATAAATTTAACTTTAAGAAGACATTTTAGTATTTGCCATGCACTTGAAAATGTTGTTTTCTTTGTTTATGTTGAGTTATTCAGAACTGTAAGGGTATGCTAGTATTGCTTGGAACTAGACGGAGTGATATCAAAATTATTTTACTGTACATTCATTAGAAATATAATCAAAACCATGAAAATACAAAAGGAAAAAAAACCTGAAAATTTTTAACAACATATTTAGTGGTGGTGATTTATATAATTTCTTTTCTAGCTTCTTAAATTCGAGGAACTCTTATAGATGTATTATGTGCTTGAATTCAGATGGTAGAATTGTTTTATCATCAGATCTTAACAATGTATGAATGCAATTATTTGTCACCAAATTAGATTAATAGTGTTAAAATTAGACATGTGTTCAATTCATTGTAACAAAAGCAGAAAAAGGAAGCAATTACTAAAAGAAAAAAAAAAGACCCCTTTTTTGTTGTTGTTGTTAAAACAAACAGTATTAAACCTGTCATAAACCAAAAGAATAGTGGGAAATGTTTTTCAAAATAAATTTATTTATCACCAAGGATTGTTTAAAACATTAGATTATATTCAATCCACCAAAGTAGTAGTATTTTTAGCCATAGAGATTACAGAACGAATCCATAAATGTCATTTTATCAAACTCTCATTCCATAGATTTGTAATCATTTTATAAGAATTAATTCATCATAACTATTCAATATTCTCACTGTTTATAAATAAAATGAGATGGCATTATGCTGTATGAATATTCCAAAAGGGAACAGGATTGTGATTTTTGCACTCTAGTTCTATGTAAATCAAGAAACACATCTTTCAAAGTAAATACATGTTTAATAAGTGGAAATGAGAAAATATTATTCATCACAAAGTACCTTTTAAATTAGAATAATAAACTATGGAGAAGTGTGGTATCCACTAATATACATACGTAGAAAAACCATTATTGTTAATGTAACATATTATATACGAATGTAAGGTGAGCATATTGTTAAAAGAAATAGTTCTTCAGTCCAACAAATACATGTACTCTATATTTAGCCTGTTGCTTACAAAAAGTTAAATATATTGAATGCACATAAGCAATGACTTTTTAGATTCAAAAGTCTATAAACTTATTTAGACAGTTTACAACGCATGCTACCAAAAATGAATTAAAACTAAATCAACTTCTAAAGTTCACATCTTCTAAAACTGGCATAAAAAGACTTAAGGTCTGCTAGTTTATTATTGATAACTTATTTCAGATATGAGTTTAAATTTATAATATTTACTTTAAAATGGAAAAAGAAATCATACAGCTACCAGGGTAATTTTGATGAAAGCATATGCAGATCATTTTCCTTATTTTACCAATACATAATTTTAACTCTGTAGGATACTGTGGACATAAAGGCTCCCAAATTCACCATCACCCTTTACAGCCTTTAAAATTAACCCCCAAAACCTTCTAGAGCTAAGCTGAACGATTCTTAAACTATAAAGGCATGTCATTAATGTGGCTTTCCATGAAGAAAGCCATCAGCTGCACAGTTTAGAGGGGGAGGAATTCTTTCTCCTACCTTCTCAGATAGCTTGTTCTGACTTCTCCTTGACTGCATGATCTGCCTCATCAGCTGTGAAACACACTCCAGCATTTTTCATCCTAAAGTCCTTCTGACACTGATTCTTTTTTTTTTTTTTAATCTCTGCTCGCCTTCATAGCAAACCTTCTTAAAAGCATTAAATAAACATGGAGTCTAAACCTCCTAACCTCACATAAAATCCTCAGCCCACTCCTACCTAATTTCTCTCATAGCCACTTCAGCAAAGTTGTATGTATGAAGGACACTTCACATCTCTTTCGATTGAGTTCCGTTGACCTCTTGGCAGCATCTGAAGTGGCAACTGCGATTTATAGCTTTTCTTCTTGAAAGATGACTCTCCCTTAACTTCCAAGATACTACAGTCTTCTGTTTTTCCAGGAACTCTACAACATCTTAATCTCATGGGGGGTGGGGGGTTGCTGTGGTTTTCTCTTCCTTGGGACTCGGTTCTTTATACTCTACTCAGTTACCCAAAAAGTACTCCTTGAACATCTATGCTATGCCAGGCACGCTTCTAGGTACCAGGGAGACATCTTTGAGTATTTCAGACTCTTTTTCATGGAGCTTGGGCATTACTCATTGTGTAATTTTATCCTCACCCAGCCTTCAGATACCATTCACCTGTTAATGTTAACATCATAATGTATGTTTCCAATCTATGACATCTTCTCATCTTTATATGCACACATATAACTACTACTTGACATTTCAAACTTAAGGATTACCAAACTGATCTTATGTTTGATCCTATTCTGCAAATTCTGCTCCTCAAATTCTTCATCCTGAGAGATGATGCCAACAGTGTTCCAACTATTCAAGCAAGAAACTCAAAAGTCATCAATATCTACTTAATTCAATCTGTTACACATGTAAGGTTAACCTACATCTACATTGTGTCCAGAATTTATTCACGGTTTTTTTTTTTTCTACTGCTATCACTTTTTTTCAAATGTTCCTGTTCATCCATCTCTTCCTTTTACCCATATGAGCAAGATTAATCAGTCTGTAATGCCTATCTATTCATATAATGTCCCTGCTTCAAATGATTTCTTATTGCCTCTAGGACCTCTTTTAAGATTGTTTATGTAATTTTCAGAAGACCTTGGATTATCTGGGTTGTAGATCCCTCTTTATCCTTATTTTTGTTCATACACCTCCAGGTTCTCTTCAGCCATGTTTTATCTAGTTCCTAAAGCAGATCAAAAAAATTTTTTTTTCTCTCTCTCTCAGAGGCTTCTTCTATATACGAACTTTCCCTAGAAGACTCATTTCCTTTAACTTTGTTTTGGAAAGGCACTTTCTAAAGGAACCCTTCCCTAACCCCTACCTCTCCCACCACAAGTTAGGTACAAGTGCCAAACCCCTTCATGGCAGCATACAGCCCCAGCATATCTCTTAGTTGTAATTATTTGGTGGTTATTCTAACCCTAGGTTTTATGTCTACCTTCCCTACTAGATTGTAAGGTCTCTGAGGGCAGGGGCCAGTTCTGTACTTTTCACAGGTCATTCCTCTGTGCCCATTTCTGTCATTCTTACAAAGCAAGACCTCAATAAATACCTAGAACAAATGAATGAATCCTAACATAGCAGAACCAGAAGAAACTAGCTTAGAGATAAGAAAATGTATATCAAGAAAAATTAATTAACAAGAGCAAAGCTGAAACTATAAACCATAATTCTTTCCACTTGTCTTCTAGGTACTGCCCACAATCTGATTCTGAAATTCAAACAAAATATGTTTTTATGGTAAATATATCATAATATATCTTAGATATGTTTGTGCCTGTATATGTATATATGTGTGTATGTATGTATGTATATGTATGTATAAATGTATATACATATATTCTTATTTACTTTTTACCCTTTTATCCATACTTATTTTTGGTTTTTATTAACAATGATTTTTTTAAAGATTTTTTAAAGATTTATTTATTAGAGAGAGAGAGAGCATAAGCAGGGGGAGCAGCAGAGGGAGAGGGAGAAGCAGACTCCCCACTGAGCAGGGAGCTCGATGCGGGGCTCAATCTCAGGACCCCGGGATCATGACCTGAGCTGAAGGCAGATGCTCAACTGACTGAGCTACCCAGGAGCTCCTTAACAATGATTTTTTATAAAACCAGCAGGGACTCTGGAAGTATAACATAAAGTAACCTGCCTAAAGTCTATTTTTTTCATAATTTGTTTGTTACCTATAAAATGTTATTAAAATGTTGTCTTCCAACCTCATACAACATTAATTTTTATCTTGATAAAAATAATTATTTTTTCCAAACATACAAGCTAAATTAAAGATTGAGGAAAATGGAGTACACTGTTGAAATCCTCCTTTGAAGATTCTGACTCAGATTTAGAGTCATATTTATATCATGTTGCTGGTATCTGTATAGAGGATAATTACTACAAAAATAAAACATTATAATTGTAGAGGTAGTTACTGGTGTTTCAAACTCACAGAGGCAATGAACTTGATAGTATATTCAACCATATTCTTAGGTGTATCATCTTATAAGATCATTGGATTTGTCATACGACTAAAGTATCTCTGATCTTGAACAGATCCCTTAACCTTCCAAATTTACATCTGTAAAATGAGTATAACTCTTCCTCGTTCAATTCAGATTCAGAGATACATAAATGAGATAATGAGATAATAAATGAAAAAGTACTTTGTAAATTTTTAAAAATTCCATTACAACATATCAATATTAGTTCTAGATGTTCCCAGCTTCCTAATTTCAAATTATAATTGGAAGCACTTATTAATATTAGCCATACAAAATCAAATATCAATGACTTTTAAACCATATAACCAATAGTAATTTTTTTTGTAATTATTTTTAATAGAAAGATTAACTGTATAAAGATGCTTTCAATTTGGAAAAAAAGATGTACTATATCACAAACTCACAATAATGAGATTGATATCTATCTGAAGTTACAAGGGGGTTAAAGAACATGACTGAACTAACACATTTTATTTTTTCCCAGTCCCAACAGTGTTATGTAACAATACTGACACTGTAATATAATATGACTTCAATAAGCCATGCTTATCAGTATGCTGCCCCCATCTCTACATATATACATATGAAGAGTATATGTATATTACATATATTCATACATGTATGTATAAGATTTACCAGTAAATGTTACATATTATATTTAAAGGAATGGTAGATGTTAAAGTATGACCCATGTGATAACTCATAGAGTTAAATATGACTATGAATCAGGACAAATTCTTGCATCTTTACCTCTATAACATGTATCTGAAAAAATTTAATATCTCTCCTGTGGACTTTGATACTATCACTAGCATACAATGATGCAAGCACTGTTACTAATAAAGGTAGAATTCACCAGTGCACTTGAATACTGATGTTGAGTGTCCTGCAACATTGTGAGCCTCCTTGAAATCCTAGTTATAATTTTTTCTGGGCTACATCTGTGGTTGTTTCTGACTCACTGTGTGATTGATTCTACCTTTCCAAAATCAACTGGTTTGATCAGTCATGGATGGGCTCATCATTATCTTTGACCGCATTTTTCCAAAAGTGAAGGACCAGCCTCCATGTGTTTGGTAGAGAAGTCTTCTTTGTGAAAGATTTTCTGGTTTCAATAGAAATTTTTCATGTTGATTTTTGACACTTCACTTTTACCTTCCATCCCCTCCCTCTGTTCATTCTCTCCCCATCGCTTCAACCACCAAAGTTGTCAGATGTATTTACAAGTTAACTGATATCCCATGGCAAGAACAATTTGAGAAATCTTGAGTAAGACATGTCATGATAATCACGATTAGAACTCAGAATTTACAATTCCTTCTATAAAATTATGTTTTTCAATATTAAGAAAAAATCCAGAGGAGTTATAAAAAGATGATTATCATATTTATTGCCAGCCTAAGAAAGCAGATAGTTTTGCTTACCTTTAATAATGTTCGGCTTTGGTGGCATGCTGAACTCATAGACTGTTGGTTCTGAATATCCCAATCTATTGGCAGCTGTAATTTGAACTTCATACCCCATTGTCCACTGTAGATGCTCCAAAATAATGTGGTCTTTATTTCCCTGCACTTTTTTCTCTAGCCACTGATCTTCTTTATCTTTCTGTAGAGGCAATCAAATATATTTTGTAAATACACTGAAGTTGGGATTTTTAAAAAATATAATTTATCTTCAGGTAGAAAAAGTGTTTTTATTAACTTCAAGAAAGGATATTTTATCATCTACAGGGATAAAGAAAGTTGCTTTATCAATGAAGTCATTTCTAAGAATTTTCCATAAAAATGTAATGTTTTTTAAATTTTAGCCAAATAATGATTTCATAATTAATTTTTGATAATTCAGTGGCTGATAATTCACCTTCATTAAGAATTTATTTTTATTTCACAGATATCATTTTGCTGTTTGGCCATTTTTTGATTATTAATAGTCATGTGGACAGAAAAAATGAAACATAATTTACAGAAAAAGCTTAGTATGTCCATAAAATAATTGCCAGATACTATTGTTTAAGGTTTGAGGTGGGGGGACGGGGAGACAAAATGTCTTACAAATAGAGGTTGGATATTTTTTACAGATTTAAATTACCAAGAGTATTTTTATTACTCTGATGTTTTAGACTCATAATAAAACAACACATAAGAAAAAATATTACCTGTTAAAAATGTTATTAGCATCAGAAAATAAAATGTGTTATGCTATCCTTGAACATCTACACTTAAATCCTGATTGTCTTTCTAAAAGAAATGCTTTAGATCACATATTTGAATTAACCTTTATTTGAAAAATATACTATGATTACAATTAACACAGAAAAATAAATTTATACAACTTAATGACTCAAACTATCCTAAACAATGTGAACATTTGGCTGTGCCATATTAACCATTTAAACACTGGTGCATTCCTTAACCTCTTTGCCTCATTTCTCTCATCTCTATTACAGAAATGATAGTAACAGCTGCATCTGTCAGCTTTTATGAGGGAGCAATGAGGAAAACCAAGTACTTTGGGTAGTCCAGGGCCTTAGGAATCACAAGCACTTAAGAAATGACAACCATTATTAAGGAGAGCCTATTTCCATAATAACTATATGAAAATAAAATATTTTTTCTGGAATGATATATTTAATAAATTATCACTGCAATTGCAAATCTCAATTTCCCAGAGATATAATTGTAAGTAAATTAGGGTCTGGCGAGATAGATTGATAGACAGATGACAGACAGATCAATCTTTTTTAACCTCAGAGCTCAGCCCAGTATTACCTTATGTTGAGTCAATATTTTATAATGTTTCTTTGACTATAAAGCATAACAATGTTTTCAGCATTTATGGTGAAAATTTAGGATTTATTCTCTGAGATTAAATTGTGGATGTTAAATGCATGATCGCATTAAATTGATGATACTACAAACATGAAGTGTCCATTAAAAGGAGACAAGAAGACATTACTGTTTTGATACCATACTATTACTCTATTTTCCTACTTAATTATTTTTGGTTACATAGAATTTTTATTACAGAGGTATCAGTTAGCCTATTTTGATATTTCATCTAAAACTAAAACATATTAGCACCCTTAATGCTATGAAGTCATGGGTTTTGGAAAAGCACTTAAAGTTATCATATAAACAAGAGATATTTCCTTTGCTTTTTGAACTTATAAATGGATTAAGTTTATAAATTGTTGTCCAGTACTATTTAAGGTATTATGAGGTGTACTGAAGAGGCCATTGGAAAACCGAATAGTTTGGGCCAGAATGCTTGTAACTTGTCTACATCACTAAATGATTATTAAGTCTAAGAAAGGAACTGAGGAGCACTTTTGAAATGTTTGGGACAGCTGTACGGAACAGCCATGATTTTCCCAACACCTTCCTTCATCATCGATTCATCCATCAATTATTAATTCCACCTTTATTGGGTAGAGGGGGGGCTGTTCTAGAACTCTGAACACAATAGTGAGCAGGACATGTACAATATGCTCATCTTGGAATGTACACCAGCCTGGAAGAAAGACATGAGCTCTTTGAAAAATGAAGAATGCTCTGGGAGCATAAAACAGGGTAACTTAGGAGAGTCTAGGGCCTCAGAAGGTCTCTCTGGGGAAGTGATGTCACCCTCATTGGAAATAATAAACTCCAGTGTCATTTTTCATTTTTCCTAACTTAGTTAATGAAAAAGTGTGATTCTTTCACAGAGGTTTAGATCCAAAAGTAAGCACAATGATTGAAAATCTCAGAAAGGTGTACCAACACTGGGAGACAGAAAGATACACACTATAGGCTTATTGTTTTCAGTAAATGTAACAACACTATAGGTATTGATCAAAAAAATAAAGCTTAAAAATATTTATTCAAAAACAATCTTAGATGATATATTACATGTATATATGTATATGTATGTATATATGTAGATTTTATTGTGTCTATATCTGTATATGTGTTTAGGCACATACACACATATATAGACACAATATATACACATATACAGACACAATAAAATCTATATAACATAAATATCTGATATGTTCTATACTATGTATACACATATGCCCATCTACAGGAAGGAGGTTGTAAGAAGCAGGAGAACTGAAAGGTTAGATAAAGACAAAGAGTACATGAAGCACTAAAGAGTTGCCCCTATGGCCTTCCTTTTACCCCAATAATTCCAGAAGTCCTAAGCAACTGTGAAGTGCTTGGTGAGAATGAATACCTTGGTGAAAATCCAGAGTTGAGTTCTGCTTTGGATCTGAGTGGAGATATGGGTGAAAGAGCCAGAAAATGAACCAACAGCTGAGATCTGGATTACCCCAGGACAAAATTTATTCTTCAGAGTGATGGAGAGACTTCATGTCCTTCACATAATCCTCCAAAAATACTATTTCTGGGAACTGACCATTTGAAGGGAACTTCTTGACAAGCACAAGACATGCAGATAGTCTCTTCTGAATTACCCACCATTTAACTCTTAATTGTTGAAGCTCTTAACATGATAAATTAAAAGCCCTTCCATCATTTTAGATAGTTGGACTGATGGCATAAGGAACCAAAGGGAGTTCTAATATTTCCCCCCATTTAGTCAATTTCCATTCGACATTAGACAAGGAGGCTTTTTCATCCCTTAATTGCTATTCCTAGGGAATAGGAAAAAAAAATTAAAGTGGGTGTTACCAAATACTCCCCTGGGTATCAAAATCTCAATTATGCATCTGCAGAGTGCCTAATTTACAGAATTTGAATGCCTAGGGAACGATTTAAGATAATCTAGTTGCAAAATGTTCCCCTAGGTAACTTAATGAGATGATTTGTTGAATAGGGCTATTATTAATAAGCCAATTAAATGTTGAAGGGCAGCTACTAAAAGAAAAATGGCCATTTTGCTCTGATATGGCTTCTCTTAAGCAATCCTTTTTCTCAGAAAATAGATAGCAGGGCCAAATGACAGTTAAGAGACTCTCCTTAACAGTTATTTTAAAATCATAATACCAGCATATGGGGAAATATTTGCTATCATCGTATAGGGAGGAGAGCTGAGAAGAGATGAAAGGAGTGTTGGTTTTCTTATTTGTAGAGGACTCCCTGACTGCTTTTATTTATAAGAAGTAATTCACTAATCCTTTTTCAAGTCTCAGGGAATATATGTTCAACATCATCTTAAATGAAAACAGAATCAACAGAGGACAATAGAGGAGGTGAGCTTGTTCTTTCACTAGATGAATTTTAAGGTCCTCGTGACTCCCCTGTGTTATGCTTTAAGATTTTGTGTTGCCATGTAAGGCGGTTTCTGGTTCCTAGATTTCCTGGTAGCATGGTTCAGGTATTCACTACTTGTATGACCTTATAAAAGGCCCCAGAATTCTCTACAGCTCCATTTATTACTCTGAATATCAGAGAGGTGATTTAGCAATCACACACACACACACACACACACACACACTCTCACCCACACACTCATACACTCCACTGTGATATCAAAAGATGTAAGATTTGGAGGATTTTAGTAAAGTTTCAAATTCTAATTTCTTTCTTTTTAATTGAAGTATAGTTGACTCAAATTCTGATTTCTTTTTTTCTATTATCATAACTGATTCAAATTGCCTTTGTCCCATATCCTGAGGCTTGGCAAAATTTTGTAAACTGGATCCTACTTAATCTATTCCTAGTCTCCATCACTCACATATCTCTTTAGGGAAAACTAAGATCTAATTTTTCCTATCCATCACCTTCTGTGTTCTCACAATCCATAAAAATTCACCCAGTACAAGTGTTTTTTCTCTTGCATTATTTCTTAGATTTATTAATCTAATTATAGAATTATGTATAACTGCTCAACACAGACTCATTTATTCATTGATTCTTTGATATATTTATTCATTCAGACAACAAATAGTATTTTTGAAGATATCAATACCAGTATGAATAAAACTCATCCTCTTTACTAGTGCAAAGAAAATTATCAGAAAGCTTAGGACTCTTTAATGTCCATAGTTATTATTTGAAAATGCTTCAAAACTTATAGTGATGGCTTTAAATAAATTTCAGTGTACCCACCTAAACATAGGTAAATCAGAAAATAAGTTATTATTATTAATAATTAATTAGAAAATAAGTTATCTCAACAACAAGAACTCAATTTTACATATGTATTATTTTAAGAACCTTTTTAAAATTATCTTTTCTTTTCCCATGGCCATTAAGATACAGCCTTCTAGACTCCAAATAGCTTAAGAAGGTCAATTAAGACTCAGAAACATATGCTAGAACACTGTTGCTAGTTCCTAAAGTACTTTCTTCACAATTGATTTTAAGCAGCTAATTTTTTTTTTTTTTTAGTCCTTCTTAGCTCAGGAAACATTTAATGTGCCAACACTAAGTGATAGTTATGATCCCACAGCTATCATCAAATTAGGGAGAAAGCAGTGAAAACCTCGTGGAAGCGTGAAAAAGACTATTTATTAAATTATATAGAGTTACATTGGCTCTACAACACAAAGTAGATGTAAAATATTCTGTACATAAAATAATTTCTTTCATTTTTCCATATACATTATGAAATTAATAAGCTTGTCTTTATTCTCCAAACACACGGTTTAATCCTACTGACTTATTGTTAGAGACATTCATTTTCACAAAGAATGCATAGAGACATCTAATTCTTTTACTACCCTAGTTCTGTTCTCATAAATTCTGTCTTCTTAATGTGTAACGGAACAAAGTCAGGTGCTCTATATGCATTTCCTGATCTATATTAAGTTATACATTCTCTATATTAGGATATGATTTGTCTTTCCTCATCCTGGTGAAATGCAGGTTTAATACTTAGATTCAATGTCTGCTAGCAATCAACACTCACGTAGGGAATATATTATCTCAATTCTGTTGTTCCTAGATTGTAAAACATACAGTCTCATGCACATGGAGAGTTGAAAGATAGGGTCAAAGAAGCAATCAAGTTTAAAATCCTTATGATGTTGCTTACTTTCTGAATTCCCCTATTTCCTTTCCATAGAGGTTATACAATTAAAAAATGCATCGCATATTGCTAAATAATTTTTTAAGTTATTCAATTGTACTTTATTCCACTATGGAATTCATGCAGTTTGAGCAACTAATAGATGAAGTGGCTTAGAATCACATAAAGAGAACAGGTGATTTAAAACCTTTTTGAAATTGTAACTATTTCAATACAAGTGCAAATATCAAAGCAAAGACTGCCATAAAACAGCCGCCAAATCTTAAAATCCAAATTTTTATTTATTTTTATTTATTTTTTCCCAAGTTTGACTCTTTTATTATGTTCAGTTGGGCACTGTATAGTACATCATTAGTTTTTGATGTAGTGTTCAATGATTCATTAGTTGCATATAACACCCAGTGCTTATCACAACACTTTCCTCCTCATCATGCATCACCTGGCTAGGCCATCCGAATTTTTAAATGTGAAGAACTAATCTGTTGAGAAAGAAAATGTGGAGAAAATTATTCCTTCCCAAGATATGCTCTTGTTTGACCACATTCATAGAATTTACATTGAATCATGGGATTTCCTATTAGCCCTGTAGAGCATGATGTTTGTAGGATGAAGAGGGCAGAGAAGGAAGGGAAAGAAAAAAGAATAAAAATATAGAGATTATTTCAATGTGTTGAAGTAGAAGGCATACCATAAACGATATGGTAAAGATAAAGTGGGTCAGAATGGCTGTACTTTGGATGCACAGAGCTAGCCAATTGAAGTGAGATGAGAGAGTCGAGGGGTTGGTATAATCTCCACAGGCAGATTTCAATTCAACACTTTGTGCTGCAAAACTGTTTCGATTTTAAAGTCTTATGTTCTGATATCTGTTCTTCATGCCCACCAAATTACCCACATTCTGTAAGGTTTAGTCTTCCCACTAAAAAGTGTTAAAAAGTATCTATTTTTTTTAGTATAGTTGACACACAATGTTACATTAGTTTCAGGTGTACAACATAGAGATTCAATAAGTTCATACATTATGCTATGCTCACCACCAATGTAGCACCATCTTTCCAGATACATCACATCTCTATTACGATATCATTGACTATATTCCTAATGCTGTGTCTTTTATACCAGTGACTTATTCATTCCATAACTGTGTCTCCAACTCCCCTTCAAACCAATGTTTGATTAATGGTTTATATTTATATTTATAGGGTCCAAGAGGGAGAAATGCCTTCCTTGAAGTACAAAGGGTGGAGAGGAATTGCTTTTTTTTTTTTTTTAAGATTTTATTTATTTATTTGACAGAGAGAGACACAGCGAGAGAGAGAACACAAGCAGGGGGAGTGGGAGAGGGAGAAGCAGGCTTCCCGTTGAGCAGGGAGCCCAATGCGGGGCTCGATCCCAGGACCCTGCGATCATGACCTGAGCCGAAGGCAGACGCTTAACGACTGAGCCACCCAGGCACCCCAAGGAATTGCTTTTATAAATCTTGCCATAGGAGCCTAAAATTCAGCTACTAAAACAGTGTTCCATCCCCAAATGCTATTAAGTCTGAGAGCAGTAACACAGTAATTGATTATCAGTCAACTGTAGCTATGTTTTAATTATGCAACCAATTATTTTCATTATCATATTTAAAAACAAATCCTCTAGCACTTTTTCAAGTTAGAAAGACCTGGGGATTGGAAATGGAGAGGAGGGGTATGGCAAGACAGAAGTAAGACGGACTAGAGAAGGGACTAAAACTTTCTTTTACTGGTAGGGGAAACACAGATGTTGAATAAATAGGTGAAAATAGGGCACAGCTATTATTAGTTTGGGGGGGAGAGAAGGGAATAAATGGAAGATACAAATTTACTGAAAATAAAACTTCATTCAAATTTTAATCTAAGACTAAGCCATATCAACTACATAAAAAATTAAAATATTTTCATCATCTTTATGGAAATTTGAATTACTCCAAGTTTTCTAATCTTATTATACTTAACACTTCAACTTATTTGTATCCATATATGTTTCACACAAAACTTCCATAAAACATTAATTCTAATTTATGTTAAAGAAATCAAAATAAATTTGGTCAGCATTTTAAATGATCATTTATATTATTAATCAATTAAAATAATAAATAATAAAAATAGATAAAATAATAAAATGAATAAATTATTATAATATATATATATATAATTTCCCTTTGAATATCTAAAATGCCTTTTTTTTCCCATTTTGTGAATCTAATTGGCTCTAAACAGATGCAGTGCTACACTAGGGAACATTTTGGCTTCAATAATGACCAGGGACACAACTGGCTTTAAAGTGAGTGAGGGCAAGGATACTAAACATTCTGTAATAGGGGGTAGATTTCTGGATGGCTCACTATTATGCTATTCAAAATGCCAATAGTGGGTCCTTTTAGATACACAGGATTCATGTATGATAACCACTGTTATGGACTGAATTGTGTTCCAGTCCCCAATTCATATGTTAAATCCCTAAACGCCGACGTGCCTTTATTAGGAAATATGGATTTAAGGAGGTCATTTAGATGGACCTTTAATCCAATATGACTGATATTTTTATAAGAAGATGAAGAGAGGTCAGGGATGTATGTGTACAGACAAAAGGTGACTCTTAATCATAGGGAACAAACAGGGCTGCCCGAGGGGAGGGGGATGGGGGATAGGGTAACTGGATGATGGACATTAAGGAGGGCATGTGATGTAATGAGCACTGGGCATTATATAAGACTGAAGAATCACTCACCTCTACCGCTGATGAATAATTGAAGCAATAATACATTATATGTTAACTGAATTTAAAAAAATAAATATATTAAAAAAAAAAAAAAGGTCATGACCCCAAGAAGGCAGTCACCTGCAGGCCAAAGAAGGAGGCCTCAGAAGAAACCAAACCTTGATCTTGGAATTCCAACCTCCAGGCTGTGAGACAACAAATTTCAATTGTTTAAGCCACCCAACTATGGTATTTTATTATGGTAGCCCAAGAGGACTGAGACAGCTGTTGTGATAATAAAGATAATTACTTTAACAATTTGTGGCAGACCCCAGACCCTAATGTTTAGTTGACCCAACACCCAACTAACCACTTTTCATTTAGTGACAGTCTTGAAAAATATTTCTCTCTAATGGGACATAATTTTAATTTTGTTTTTAGAAAATGTATACCGTGTTGCTGGAAAAGAAAGATAAGTTATAATAATAAATAATAATTTAAAATTGTGTTTCACTTTTAACATATTCCACAATAGACACAAATACTCAATGGCACTTATGGCAATGTTAAGAGAAGCCACTTTTAGTGGCCTTGGGTATAATTTTCAGCCAAAGGCAAAGTCCACTAGGTCACTTTCTTTATCACTCTGCAACCAAAGGATGTCCTTCATCTACTACCGTATTAAGTCCCAAAACAGCTCTTAGCTGTCCAAAATTCCATATTAGCTAGTGCTAATTAAACTTGAAAAAAACTAATCCTTCTTCCACAAGTTCAATATAGCCATTCTTTGTTAAAGGTTGATTAAATTAATTTGTTATTTAATCAAATGATTCATATCAAAAGGCTTATAAATTTAAGGTATAAATAATTTAATAATTCATAAAAATAAAAATAAAATATTTTGATACAATAACTAAATAATTACCTATAATATAATAACTAAAATTGAGAAGAGGGGCTTAGCTTGAAGTTACTAATATCAAGCAGAATGAAAGGTGAAAACATCCTGTTAAACTTGTCAAAAAACAAGGAAAATGTTATTTCATTTCTGAAATGTCAAGTTTAGAAATCACAAGATGGATACATGGCATTATTTTGATGATAAATGCTTAGATTTTATACACACACACAAAAGGCAAGTATTTCACCATTTATAATGATGAATTTCAGCAATGGACAATTAGCAGTTGAATTTCTAGAAGAACTGTTTATCATTGTTACTTAATATACATACATGCCTAATATGTCTATGAATTGAATGCAAATTTAATGCAATTTGAAAACACTGTACAAAATGATAATAAAAAAGGTACTTACACTTCTATACTTCACAATGTATTCCAAAATAGGGGCCCCTCCATCATCCTGCTTGGTGATACTGAGTTTAAAGCTCTTCCCACTGCTTGGCTGCCCGTGTATGGATGGAGGACTTGGTTCACCTAAATAAGCAATACGACATTCTTGGTTTTTATACACACCTCAGATACCTGGAGAAACTGCATTCAAATAAAGAGAACACTGTCATGTAATAATTAAAAAAAACAAACATGATGTGATCCTGAATTTACCATTTTCCATTTGCCTTTTGTTGTGATAAAATCTCTGATCCTTTCTCCCCAACTAAGAAACAGCGACATTCATAAATCTACATAAATATAGAAGTGACACCAAAATATTATTTATACTGATATGCGAATGTTCTGATAATAGTATTTCATTATAAACGTGAAAACTTTATTTCTTGTGTTATTAATAGTGTGCAATCCTATTTATTAATGTAAATTTTTATAAACATTTTGTACATGTTTTAATATAAACATATTAAGTTATAGAACTATATGGAATATATACTTACCAATAAAGATAATGGTTTAGCATATATATCTGCTTTAATGAGTGGTTTTTTTTAAAGATTTATTTATTTATTTTGAGAGAGAGAGCACACATGCGTCGGGGGGGCAGCGGGAGATGGAAAGACAGAATCTCAAGCAGACTCCATGCTGAGCACAGAGCCTGATGTGGGACTCAATCTCAGGACCTGAGATCATGACCTGAGCCAAAACCAAGAGCTGGACACTTAACCGATTGAGCCACCCAGGTGCCCCTTAATGAGTATTTTTAAATTAGATGCAGATTTGAATACAGAAATTTTGTAGTAACTAATCAATAGATATGTGTTCCAATATATATTTTTTTCTTCTAACTTCATGAACATATTTGCCTTTGATGTTATTCTTCCCATGGAGGTGGTCTTATAACAAAGATGCTTATATGTTTAATATGAACAGTGATCTAGTGAAATGTAATATGTGAAGGACGCCATCACTCTTTGACAACTTGGAATGGGAATTCCTTGCTGTGTGTCACTTATGTGATGTCCTTCAGCATGCGCTGTCATCCTCTACCCTTTTTTTCTCCAATTCCCTATAGATAGGAATATAGTAATACTAAGGAACTTTCAGGAGACATGCTTTAGTTTGCAAGGTTCCAGAAACTTGTAGTATGGGTTTACTCAGAGGAATGTCAAGACAAACTAAGCAGAGTAGAGTGAAGAGGATTTTATGCCTCCAAATTTGGACAATCTGTTTTATTTTTTTTTTTCCTCAGCCGGTTATCTTTTTTAAATATGGTGTTTGTAACCATATGAAGTGAGTAGTTTATTTGAGAAAACCATATCATTAAGGAAATATGTCAGTGGGGTGTGGTGACATGCAAGTATATAATAAAATAGCCTTGTATACTAGAGCCATAGAGAAACAAAATAAATAGAGGTATTTTGGAGTGATTCTTCATTAAAATTAATTACATTAGTGTGCAGATATTATGATATCACATGATCTGTATTCAATATAACATATTTTTGATAAATGAATTAAAATGTCTGTAAAAACCAGTATAATAATTTCTTTTTTTTTAAGATTTTTTATTTATTTATTTGAGAGAGAGAGAATGAGATAGAGAGAGCATGAGAGGGGGGAGGGTCAGAGGGAGAAGCAGACCCCCCGCTGAGCAGGGAGCCTGATGTGGGACTCGATCCCGGGACTCCAGGATCATGACCTGAGCCGAAGGCAGTTGCTTAACCAACTGAGCCACCCAGGCGCCCCAGGTATAATAATTTCTTAAAAAGACTTAAGAGATTGTGGGAAAATCTAATGATAAGATGGATTTTATATTCAGGTAGATTAATATCACTTCTAAATTAAATTTCAGAATGTATGTGTTGTGCAGTCTGAATTCATTTAATAATATTGTAACATTATTTTGATAATAACATTTGAGATAATAGCAGGAACTGTATTTTCAGTTACAAATGTTTTAACATATAAATTTACAGTATTTATGTCTACATTTAACCTTTACAATACACTAAATTTGTGATTCCATTACAGTTGCTGCTTCCTTTGAAAAGAAAGTTCAGAACAAATGTAAATTCTATCAAAAAGGAATTGATTAAAATAATGGTTTCTCTTGTAGCCAACTTGTCATATTAGGTGTATATAACAAGCAGGGTGATGCACAGATTACAGATTACAATACCCCAAAAGAGGACAGTAGCAGAGACAAGGCTCTGTCTTATCTCTTCCGCAGTCACCATGACAATGGATTAATTCAGTGGTGCCTTTTTCTCACACTTAGGGCCTACAGAATTTATAGGATAAAGGCAATAGTCATGTCTCATCTAAAGAATGAAATATTGTACGTGTTACATAGTCACTATTTTTACTTTCTCACAGACCATGGTCTGAGAACTATAATCTAATTAATCAGACTATTAATGAATAGGACACCTTCCTGATGAGGACAATTTCCTGAGGGCAGTTTTACTGTATTTACTGTAGTGCACCTTTTCTTTTTTGTCTCATTCCAGAGAAAAGTTATTTTTAAATACTTAGATGCCACTGTTTTCAGAAACCAATTCAACAAAGACCTAATTCACTTCCCCAAAGTGTTGAAACACCTCCCTGCATTTTAAGATCCCATAAGTTTGCAAATGAAGAGAATGGCAACAGAGAGCAAAACAGAGATAATTACTTACGGACTGGTAATGTCTGGAAGATTTCTATTTTACTGTAGTCTCCTTGCCCTTTTCCATTTACCGCTGCAACCCTGATTTCATAAGTTGTATTTGGTTCCAGGTTGCTCAAAACAACCATTGCTAGAAGATGAAAAATAGTATATAGATGTCTATGGTTAATATATTTTAATAAGTAAACAAAACAACCTATTTCAAAGCTGAGTGAATAATTTCACTGTCAATCTTCCCAGAAAATACCTGAAAAAATAGAAAATACATATAAGATAATGATTTGTGAACACTGCCCTTCTTCACCTCTATTTTAGCCTTCCGATTCCACGCAGTAACTTCCAAAGAAGAAAATTAATAGCTTCTTTTATGATACATTCACAATATATTCAAGAAATAAGAATGATCTAAATAAAACATCCTTATGGTATGCATCCCAAATATTTTATCTCCCTTACATCCATTATTTCTATGGAACCCATTTCATGGAGATATGGAATTCAATATACAGAACTCTGGCCTCAGGTATAAGGTGTTTCACTCATGGTGGAAAAGTGTCACAAAGCTGACTCTACAACCAAAATAGATAATTTATTTGATAATCTCAAATCAAATTATTTTTAATACTGGTTTGAAGGTTGTCACCTCCTGTATTTTTTCTCCGAATTTGTTTTTAATTCTATACTTTATGAGACCTGGATTCAACCTGACACTAAGAAGAGAGAATCTGAAAAAGTACAGGGATGTGAAGGTTATTAGAAACATCTCCTGGGTCATGCCAACCTCTTCAATTTGCCAAAGAATTTTGAGTACAATGGTAGCTTTAAAATATCATATCTTTACAAATTCCTCTGAGGAAGCCAACAAAATTCCATAGATGCCTCCAGCCTTCCTGCTTTTGCTAAATAGTGCAAAAATTGGGGCTCCTGGGCAGCTCAGTCGTTAAGCGTCTGCCTTTGGCTCAAGTCATGATCCTGGAGTCCTGGGATTGAGCCCCACGTCGTCGGGCTCCCTGCTCCGCGGGAAGCCTGCTTCTCCCTCTCCCACTCCCCCTGCTTGGGTTCCCTCTCTCGCTGTCTCTCTCTCTGTCAAATAAATAAATAAAATCTTTAAAAAAAAAAGTAGTGCAGAAATTTACTAGTGGAAGTGGTAAAGCCTTGATAAACAATCAGAAAGAAATTATGTTTGGCTTATATAATAACTCCAAGTAAATGATCAACTCATAATACAAGATATAATCAATCATAAAATAAAAGTTTAAATCATAGGTAACCAGGATCATATCTGTAGAGATACTGTTTTATATGAACCATGCCTGAAGATGATACATTCAATAAAATTACAATACGAGTTATTAGCATATTTCTGAAAACTAGTTGCATTATAATATAGATTCTTTAGGTAACATTTTTCATTCCACATGGTATGAATATACTTAATGAACTTGTTTTGATACTTCCTTTTGTTTCATACTTTTCCCTAATATTCATTATCATGACATCTCTTTAGCTTTTTTATTATAATTGTTTAATTTCATTGAATTACTTACTCAACTACAGAAAAGAAAAAAGTTGCTGAATGCATGGTAAAGATCTTTTCTTTGTTTAAAATGCAGAATTTAAAATATATAAAAGTTACATATATATTTTACATGTATCTGATATAATTTGTCATATATATCAGATAATTATTAATGGCAATAAAAGATCCCAGATATCAACCAGACTTTATTTAATACATTACAGATGTTCTAAAACCAGCAGAAAGGATATATTTCCAGTTGGCAAAATTGACATTTGTATTTCTCAGTTTCTCTACCTCGTAAGAAAACTGACCTTGTTTTTGAGAATGCATTGCCTTGTCAAAGCCTCAGATTATGATACTTGGTGTCAAAGTTAAGGGAGGCCATGTGGGAAAGACTGATGGGCAGGGATATCCTGATATAACTGATTAGAAGCTACAAGGATAAATGGGAATACAAAGGCTTAATCCAAGTGTTGCTGACAAGCTAACAACCTGTAAGCTTTTTCAGGAAACCCAGATCCAGTTGTTTGGTGACCTGGAATCAATGTATATATAATATCAGTCCAAGAAAAATAAATAGTTATGACTGAGAGGTTAGTGCATTAGATCATGCAGATTAAGGAAAGGGAGGAGGGAATCAAATGAAAAGTTAGAAAGCTAAAATGCTGAGAAGTTGAAATCCTACTGTCCTTGAAAGATTCTGTCCAAGGTCAGTATAACAAGGAATTCAAGAGCTTAAAAGTCATCATATCTTATCAATTTGCCGGTAAATAAATATAACAAATTTAAAGTCAATGTGAAATAGGCTTACTGTTCTGCAGAGATTTTTAAAGCTTTATAAAAGCATGTTTGTTCTTTAGATCTTATAATAAAAATGCTTAAGCCTTTGGACAGTCAATATTTTCACAGACCAGTCAGTGTTGAATGTGATGTCATGAAGCAGTCGGTGTTTGATTGCCCTATCCTTTACCCTAATGGAGAATGGCTTGATGTAGCATGGGGACATATTAGACTCATGCAGGTATTAGGCTGACTACAAAAACCTTTGCAAGAAGACCCTGTCATGATGCATGCTTTAAAATCATGAAGGAAGTCATTTGGTTCTGAGCCCAATTCCACCACTGACTGAGATCCTACCGTCTCAGGGCTGAGTGAGTCTCCCAACTCATCAACAAAGACACTTTTATTAAGTTCATAGAAACAAAAGTAGAAAAATAAACTGAAAGAAGGTATAGATAAAATAATCTGTGCTCTGTGAAATAATCATCACCACACATCATTGATCTATGCAAATGGGTATATTATATGGAGACTGAGATAATGCAATTGATAGTCCAAAAGTTGTTCATCTTCGACTCTGTTTAATGGCAAAAATACTCTGTATTTAGATACTTATTAATGCTATAGATGCCTTTCCTGCTGCAGAAAACTTTGTTAGGTGCTATGCCTCTCCATATTTCTATGATGTAAAGATGCAACTGCTACCATCATTTTTTTTTTCTCTAGGTTTTTAGGATCTGTTTTCTAGTTCCTTTTAGTGATTTTTATTTTTTTTAATTTTTATTTTTTAATTATTTTTATTATGTTATGTTAATCACCATACATCATTGGTTTTTGATGTAGTGTTCCATGATTCCTTGTTTGCGTATAACACCCAGTGCTCCATTCAGTACGTGCCCTCTTTAATACCGTCATTTTAAGATCATTGATACACTGTAACTCAGCCTTGTAGGTGAGAACAATTGGTAATGTTTCTGTTCATTTGTTTGCCTTGATAAAACTCAGCAAGAAAATCAGTAGAATTCAAATCACACAATTTTAATTGTAAATAAAATCATCTGTAAATCAAAAGTGTGGAGATCAGACGGTTCATCTTTTTAGGTTAAAAATGGATAACAGAGCTAGCAAAGTATCAGAGCATACCTAATGAAGGAAAATTGAGGTTATTAGATTAAACAATTAAAACAACAATTCCCTCCTCCCCGTAAAAAAAAAAAAAAAATCTTCCACATTTTACTTGGATTATCTGAATGTTTCTAGTGAAAGCTCTTTCTGGCTTAAACGGTCAGCATTCTTCCTCTTCTCCCATTACACAGGGCTTGTGAGGAGCTTTGAGTTGTCCCTCTATCTCTGCCAAGGGGAAATTCATTTCTCTAATTACATTATAATCAACTCAGAATCAAGTTTCCTCATATTCTTCTGTTCTCCATGTCCAGACTCTCCCCTCTGCTGACTGAATTTCGCAGCAGAGCAGTTTGCAGAGGAGAGGAGCAGAGAGCTTAAATAGTGGCTGAACTGTTATTAGAGCACTGGGCTACAACACTCAAAGGTAAAGTGGATGAGGGGGCCTCATGGAGGGCCTTCAAAATTATAGGGGAGAGGCATGTAAGTAAACCTATTGAAGCAAGTTTTACAAAGTTTATACACAAGAAGTCAGTCTGTTTTTGAGTCCCGCCTGTAAGGCTTTTGCTACAATAATCCTTATTATAGGGCTTATTAACATTGTGTGAACATAAAGATTATTGTGTGCAATAGAAAAAGCTCCATAAATTAGGACCAATTCAAAGAGAGGGAAAGGAAAAGATTCAGGGGAGGCAAAGCCCGGATCTGTAATTTGACTTGCCTTTCTTAAATGAGAGGATACATACATTAAATCATCCACAATTTCCTGGCATAGGACCAAACACAGGGTTTTTGAATACCCAAGGTAGAGCCTGAAAGCAAACTACCACTTGAAAAACGAAAGGCTGTGTACTCTATAATAGACTCATCCCTCAAATTATGAAGTTAGTTAATGGAAGACTTTTTTTCCCCAAATGTGCTCATACAATAGAACAAAAGAACCACAAACTGAGGTGTGGGATGGGTTCTTTCCCTATAATTTGTTAGAAATTCAAACTCAAAAATTAGGTGAAAGTAGATCTAGATTACAAACTACTACAAGTTCTCTAAGGACAAATGGCATAAATTATTTTACAGTGATATTCAGTTAACATGATTTGGAAATCAAAATGCAATTCTTCTGAAAATTATAAACCACCACGAATTTTTCTGTAACATGGCAACAGGTATAAGTTCTACAAAGAATCTGGTTTTCTTCATTAATTTAATGTTTCTGCCTGATTTAAATATAATTGAGTTTCATAAATGACCATTTTGTCACCTGGCTATAAATGCAAAAGTATAGCAAATATTGAACTGTATAAAAATAATGACACTGAAACTAGCAAATGAAGGAAAACAGAAACTTTTTACATTATTTTTGCAAGTACGGAGATGGTATTGCTAGACAGAAAAATCTGAAGTTTAATTTTCCCTTTAAGAGGGGAATCAGACTTCATTAAAGGGAGTTAATAAAGTAAGTTTTTGTTTGTTCAGATTACGTCTTGTAGATCCCATCCCTTTAGCTGTCAAGAGAAGAAGAAGCTACAGGATATTTATGACCCTTGGAGCAAAATAAATTACATATTTGTAAACTAATTAGGCTGAGCAAAGTTCTAAAGTGAGATTAGATTGAGCCATGATCTTTTGGCTCTCTTAAACCTCAGGACTCTCCATGGGGTTTTCTAGCCAGTCAGTGTAAGAAGGTAAGGACTCCCTGGATGTCG